CAGCAAGGCATAAACATCCACTCCACGACGCATGCCTATACTAGAGCATTCATTTCCCGTTGGTAATTCTCCACTGCAGCTTCCTTATCATGTAGTGCCTGCCTCTCTCGACCAAGCTCTGTCCTCAGCTGAGACATCTCCTCACCCGCTCGCCGTCTAGTGGCCGCCAACTACCAGGGCCAACCTCGCTATCAATTGGCTCCTACCATGCCCCACCTCAGCTGACCTTTCCATCAACTCTCGATGCTTATCCGCTACTTCCCTCTCCAACTGTTCCCTCTATACAGAAACTAACTCACCCTAAGGCCCAACTCCTCACCGCATGCTTATGATCCTGCATATCTGTCTCCGCCTTCCTCATTTCTTTCCGAACTTGCTCCGTCTCCATCATCAACTCGGCACACCTATACAACAGACTCTAGAGGGCCCTGAGCCCTTAACTTCTTATAGCTATCGAGTTATGAGATATATCATATACCATTAAAAAGTCCTTCTCAAGCTCTACAGAAACCCAGCTTTTCCAACCGTGCGTATGAAAAGTTATGGGATTTCCCAGCTGTTTCATCAACATCACCCCTAGTTCATTACCGTTCGTTAGAGGCTGCAAGCTCCTTCTGTAGACCTGCCATGTTATCCTTCATGTCGCCAAGCTCCTTTTCATATCGTATCGAGGCTTCCGAGAGCTGCATCAAACACCGTAATAGGTCCATATTGAGGTCTATAGAGGTACTCGTTTGTCAGTAGTAGTCATTTGCCGATTCAACTGCTCTGCATGCTGCTCGTTCCTGAGCTGGAGTATGCCTCCACCACTGCACATACGGCTACATTGCATGTATTCGTTTCTCTTTGTCTGCCACGCCTCTCTCTAAAGCCTCCAACTCCTGCTGCAGTCGAGCCACCTGTGCGAGACGCCATAGGAGGACCACCTTGTCATCTACCTCACTTCAGCCTGATGAGATTCCTCCGCCCGTATCAGCTGCTCCTGTGCCACGCAAGATATACAGCGACAGTTGCTAGCCACAGCGGGGGTAGGAGAAAGATCTGGCCAAGTTAGTGAGCATGCACTACACTAGGCAGATTAGATCAGCCGCCGAGCTCTGCGTATCACCATCATCAATCTGCCTCCCTCGAAAGGGGCTTCCATCATTACTCCTGTCAAGCGTGATCGACCGTTTACTAGGGGACATATCTGCTAGGCTAGCAACGGCAGCTGGTAGTGACAACGCCATATTCTTTGATATGGTGTATGGACCACTGCTTGTGGACTTGCGGCATGCGTTGATACCTTGGGGAGAGGAAGCATCCCAGAATGGACGAGTGTTCCTCTCGAGACAAGTCGTTGACATGTGTGGCCCCTACTAGTCATTCTCTCATTCCTATCAGTCACTTGAGTGATGCCCTGCTGGATCGCGAAGGGAATCGCTAAGCAGGAGCTAGTTCATCAGCTATGATCATCTCAACGATACTACAGTTGCCCGTGAGCTTCACGGTAGTGAGAGTGTGACAACCAGAGTTATTAAGGGCTGAGGCTAGGACCTCCCCACCAGTCGGGCCTAGGGCGTTATGAGATAGGTTCAAGTGACGCAAACTAACGAGAAGGGCAGGACTAGGCCGGGGGGTCTTAGTCGTACGCTACCTCCGGGAGTGCGTAAGCAGTGTAGAAGCAATAGCTTCAGCTCCAGCAGGGCTGATCTGGCATTCTTGCATAGATAGTATACTCAAATCAGGAGCCACACTGAGCGATGAGAGCAGGGACTCAAAGCCTGATGAGTAGAAGAAGAAGAACGATGGTTGGTATAACATTGTTTTAGTATAGTACATTGAGGTGAAGCCTCTCCTAGAGGGTTCCAATCCAATACTATCTCCTTCACATGCCGTAAAGCCTGGCTACTGCGTATGGCATTGCCAAGGTATACAAGACCCTCAGAGTGTATGTTATTACCAGCTAGGTTCAATGAGTGTATCAGCATCTACAATGCCAATGAGCAGACAACTGCCCATCACCATCACGACAATGTCTGTCACCTTATCATTCCCTATATGCCTGAGTGCCTCACAGAGGGCTCTGCATCCCTTAGTCCCAATATACCTATCTGATAGGTCGATAGCTACCGAGGATATGCTGCCATCGTTGGGAGTGCCGGCCGACGACGAGACTAACTCCTCTATGTATCGTCGCACTTGACTCTCGAGCATATCAAACAACTCTACTGTACTAGGCGTCGTTCTTATTAATGTACACTGGTAGTAAAACTCGCGTTTATCAACTGCGTTAACTCCATCACTCTAAGTGCCCATAAGAAACTTCAAATACAATATCATGTCAACGACTCCTTAATGACTGATCACCTCCTCATGCTACTCCGTAGTAAGCCCTGTGGTACACTAGCTACCCTCTTAGATGCCGCCGTGACTGCATCTTCATGATGACCCTCACTATCAGAAGAGGAAGCACTCCCATCACTGCCGGCTGGTGAGTAGCCCTTCGAGCCTGGCCCCAACAGGGAGAACCCAAGAGCCATACCATTCCTTGCACTACGACGACGTTCTAAAACACGACTAATCATAACAAACACCCAACAACCCAAGTACTCGAACCTTTTTCCTGCATATCCTCCTTTACTTTGGCTATGTGTGCCATAAGCGGGTTATAGTATCTAAGGAGTAAATGTAAGCGACCGAACAACGTCGCAAATCCTGACTTCTTCTTCACTTTAGGATCCAACGAGGCGCTGAGCCAGGGAAGTAAAATAATCAAAAAAATTACACCAGCCTGAGAAATGAATATGATAGAAACTGATCAGTAGGAGCACGACAGACCTTTTTCCATTTCTTGTCAACGATAGCTGTGGCGAGCAGAGGCCCCAAGAGCTGCCCCAACAGACTAGCCAGCCAGGCCCTTTTGGCAGGTGAGGCATGTATAGCTCAGCGACATTCAATGTGCCTATGAAAAACAATATCCTACATTGCAAAGTGTCTGACATGTAACTACCAGCTTGGGAGTAGGCGAAAAACATCTGTGCCATGATGCCTACTATACCATTGGTCATAAGAGGTCTACGACCCGACCTAACGACTAGGAACATCATCAATACTACGGGCACTGTATGGACCTGAGCTGAGAACCTCATTCTACTGCACAACCTCGTCTTCTGAGCCCACCCAGTGGTCCATAGCCGCGAATTGGAGTTTGGTCAACTTAACGCCCCTAAGGGCCATCTTTTGCCTCATCATTTCCGTCAAGCCTCTAGCTCCAGCAGTGCGGAAGGCCATACACACACCGAAGCTATTCGATAGCAGAAAAGGATCCTAAACAGTGGAGGCAACTACTAGTCCCACCAGCCAGTATCACACACTCACCCATTGCTCTTGCCTTAGTAGTATTCTCGATACTATCAGAACCCAATTCCAAGATGTATAAGCTTGGAGGTTCTTTCGAAGGAACTTGTTGTTGATAACCTCACTACTGCCTATAAGCACCTCCCATAGTAGAGGGTATTCACAGAAAAAGGCTTACCAGTTAAAGCGAGGTAGATGGCACATCCAAGGGCAATGTTAAGGCGGTCACCAGGGACGAGCTGAAAGGGTATCACAGAGGGCTGCCGATCAGACATACGACCCATCTTCAGAAAAAAGTAAAGCTGAAATCATCCAGTTATTGATCAACACGACCAGAACAGAACAGTGTCATTATTAAGGATATACAGGCCCCGTGCAAAGCATGAGTATTCATAATACAGTAGAGTGCGTCACGAGCTATACCAACAATCAATCAATGAGCAAGATGTGAAAGGCAGGTACTGCTCTCCTAAGCATCACCCCACAAGACCGTTGAAGAGCCAACATCCCCAATCCACATTTCGCCAGGATCCATCACTATTTTGTCCTCCACTACAAAACCGAGAGAAATTACCTGCCTAGCTCCGGTCAAGGCACACACCAGCACCAGATAAGGTTGACCCCAGGGAGACAGAACAAGGGCACTCTCACGACTACTGCAGCTCGCTCGAGTGTTTGAACCTTGACATAGTTGACCAAATGATCACTGGTAATAACCGTTACATCGCTTTCGGAAGAGCCAATATCACTAAGTGTCGTTCCAGAATCTAGGTCCGATAAATCTGCGAAGTTTAATATGATGAGACACTCATGAAAGAGCGTGTAATAACCTACATGCCATCCATGAATACGGTGGAGCCATCACAAGCTGGTGGCCCCCTCGTTGCACTTCTTCCGAGACTGAAACATCTCCTACTGTCAAAGTATGGCGACCGAAATGCAGTACGGTGTCAGACAGAGACACGTAAACTTGATTAGCACAAATCTTCATCTATAAGAATATGAACAACACATATAGAACGACAACCACGATAGATACCACTTTCTGTTCAAGTTCTGTGTTATACAACTGTGCTTACTGTAAGTCGGATCCCTCTATTCCACGAGCGTGGTATATACTATTCTGGACACACTGTACTGGCGATCCAACCTGAATAACAACATGCTTCTGACTGTTTATCCACTATGAAGTTAATGCCTCACTTCAGTAGCTCGACAGAAGTAGGCAACATCATGACAACAAGATGCAACAAATC